TCAGTCATAGCATGTAGATAGTTTCTCTCTCTCTCAACGCATCAAGAGATTTCCAGTTACATCTACATTCATCGTAGATCTCTAGTATCTCTAACAATTTCTCTTCTGACGTAATACTCACGGAGCTCCTTCATTTCTCCTTCCCTTGTTAAGCCTGTGCTGTACCTTCATAAGAAGGATTTGAGAACCGGGATCCTCTGGATTTTTCACCATAAATAGCTCAATATCCTTCCATTTAAGGGCATCATTGCCCCTCATGTACCCGGTAGACAAAGTCAGAGTTCCAGGCCGCGCTGATGTTGAAGCCATCATTTTTCGCAACGTGTTCAATTGTAAAAGGCATCGGAAAGTAGGAAAAGCCATATCACAGGCATCTAGCAAATGATGGGTAACAAGCAAGAGCTCGTTGATGCTAAATGGCGGCTGTTGCTTAGCCCCTAAGTTAAGCCCATACTCTTTACTAAGATCATTAGAAAGCTTCTCGGGTCAGCAAAGGATCAGAAATTTGATTATTCGAAACATACTGCAGTCACATCCTGCCCTAATTCACGAGAAAGCTCACGGCCTGTTTCTTCGCTCCAATACATCCTGAAAAACCTCACCACTGTCATGAGACTAGAGTGGTATTCTTCGTTGTGTTCATCTAAATACCAGCGAATGAAGCCTTCAATGAATCTTAATGTGATGTTTTCAAGCCAATACTTATAATCGGGCGGCGTGAGTTGCGATGTAAATCTGCATATATAAGTAAAAGTACATGGACTGAAGAGAAAGGAAGCCAGTACTTCTGGAAGTTAAAATGAATTCCCCGCAGTCGTTCTTTCGTTGCTTCGGCTCTCTTGCGTTTGACAGATGGGTCTGGCAACCGGACAAAGGCATTATAGTCCGTGATGGGCTTCGAGGACCCTTTGGGTGGCATTTCGATTCTGACAGGCTCAGAAGGGAATGTTGATTGAATGATGATTTACGGGAAATTTTAAGGGTGACCATCTTGGCTTTTATCCCAGGGCTATTCAGAACTCATGAACAACCCACCGGGATTTGCACGCGCCAGGCTTACCGGGCTATACTTAATCGGACATAAGCCGGTCATATCACTATTTTGGGCTACAGTGATGGACTCGTGATGGACTTATGATGGAGCCGCTGGGATATGCAAGTGTCGCGTTTCGGCTAGCTGGGCTATACCTAATCGGGCTTAGGTCAATCATCTCCCAAGAACTATATCATTTATTCTTGCCTGCGCGGAAAGACCACGGTTTCCCCCACACAATGCCACGCAGAACCGTGGTCTTTTCACCGGGACACCCTATTACACCATATCGGACGGGTACGGTGAAGTCTTGATTTAATTTACTTTTAAGCTTTGGGGTTTAGCGTCATCAGTCTCTGTGCGTACCCGTGCGTGCGCTTTGTATATAGTCTCCCCCTCACCCACTTTTCGAGCATCCAAATTCTTTTTTCCCCCCCTCCCGCCTCCCTATACGCGCAGATGAGGCATTTTTGCCATTGACTCGAATCGCCGAACTCCGCCATCCCCTATCATCTTTAGCGTGATCGATTGTACTCGTTGAATCTGCTCCACACCAGCAAGTTAGAGTGTTGGCAGTCAGACTGTCAATTACCTCTTGCTATGTCCAAGGTTCTACGCCTGTATGCCTTGGAATCAAATGGCGACCGCGGGCTCGAACTGTCTGAAAGGCCTTCTCTTAATCTCCGTCATTGATTCGCGGCTACTAAACGTGTCCAATCAATCTCATAGCTAATGATATTAAGATAGTTATACTCGATTCTCGTGATCTTGACCCTACCTCGAACTCCATTACCTAGACATCCACCCCATTTGCTCTACGGCCATGCCGGTCTCAGATACCCTCGGATTGTGGTCTTGAACACTTAGGCACCATGAACCAGAGCTCTTTAGCCGCACAACCGATTAGCACACAGCATAAGGCAGACTACTAGAGGGACTTGTCCTCGCGCAACAGCACATGCATCCTTTGAACAAGGCACACAGGGGCCGTGGAAGGACTGGATGGCAGGGTCCGGTGGAATTGCTTCGCGTTACAGAGCATGCGTCCTTTGAACAAGGCACACAGGGGACCCAGAGAAGAACTGGATGAGATGCTGGGCGCAAATTATGCAGGACCTCGCAGGCCCTAAAACAACAGCTGGGCAGTCATATAGACTGGTTGGACAGGATGGGCGTGATATTCCCGATACTATACACCGTTCTATCAAATTTGTCTCAGACATGCCAACAATTGGCCAGCAGGTCTTGTTTTCAAGATCCTCTGGAGATTATGCAACAAGGTGCTCAAGGGAGACCGGAGAGAGCACAAGGCAGAATTGGCTAGGTAAAAAGGTATACAGCCATGGTTATACTCTGATAGAATTATTTAACAGTCTCACCAAGTCTTCAATCTAACACTACATTTTATCCATATCATTTTCTTGTCCCAATCGTCAATTCAATCAACACGAGTTCTTCAACCATTGCAGGCATCCCTAACAATACCGCTGGTAAGAGATACTCGACAAGTATCCATGGACTTCTCTAATACAAGACTAGAAGAATCAATCCCTACCAGGCCGTCGGATCCGCCTTCCCTCACTATGCGTGAGCCTCTTGACTTTGAAATAGGCACAGAGTCCAATCCCATAGTCATCGGAGATGACCCTGCCCCCCAGGCACAGAGTCTAATCCTATAGTCATCGGTGATGACATTGCTTCTTCAGACCCAGCTTTTGGCAATGTCGTAAATTATGTCAACGAGGATATCCAGGCCGAGCAGCCTCGACTCCAGTTATCTCGACTCCAGTTGCTTCGGCTCCAGTTGCCCCAGCTCCAGGTGCCTCAGCTCCAGGTGCCTCCAGCCAACGAGCTTCGAGCGTATCAGTTCAAACTTGAGCAGATTGCTGAACAGCTCGCTGACCAGCTTCAAGCCGATACCGAGCGCCAGGCTGAGGACTTGGAGTCTGATACAGAAACGGAGATTATGACTACACCGGACTTCTGGGAGAACTTGATAGATGAGGATGTTCCTATCTCAGCAGACGGAGACTTTATCACCGAAACAAATCCCATCCTCGCACCTCCCGAAAGCTCGGTGCATAAGGATCTAGAAGGGCCCTACACCCCGGCAGGACCACCCGCACATTCTCTTAACTTGGATCACAAGCTATCAGAGCCGACTAGCAGTGAATCTCTTATGAAATGCCGTTATATCGGCAAAGAGACACAAAGCGAGATCTTTTCACAGGGACAAAGAGGTAACCTTTCCGTCGGCGATATTATAATTCAAGAGTTATTAATAATTCTTCTCTAGTGAATTTGCCGAGTACTCACCACCCGGGCCTACCTGAAGCAAAGGAATCTACATTCGCTTCTCCTTCGAACGAAATATCTTCAGTTATTGGCGAGACTGTTTCCACCGATTCAGCAGTACATAAACATGGACCCCATATGCCCTCCAAGACACGATCAATGAAACGTAACGTAAAATTCCACATGATCGGAGTACATCCTCCGAGCGACCCCGATCAAAACGTTGATCGGCGTGGACAATACTCAATACCCAAGATCAGTGAAGCTTTTGTCTTGGTATTTATACTATACTGTTGAGCAAGCAGTTGCTGCTGTTTGTCGCTTTGTTACTTGTCGGGGTTGGTGGTGGTCAGGTGACCCGGTTTACAGGGCATGACTAGATCGCTCGCTTCATTCTCTCTCTTTCTCTCCTTCCTTTCCCCGTCCTTCTTTTGTCTAGCATAATTGATCTATTTCTTCGCATACGCTACACGTAGATCATTCTGCTATTATTAATGCAGCTTCTTGCAATGCTTCTTCGTACAACTGTATACGTTTATACGTCTGCGCTGTCACAAGTGCTTCTCGTTTGCGCGCCCATTTTAGGGACATTCAATGCTCTAGAGACCCTTCCACTGGAGATTATCGTTTTTAACTGTGCTTCCTAGTAGCCAGCTTCTTGCCTCTTCATAAAATACAACGAGTTGATTTCTAGAACAGGTCTACCAGATCATAAGGTCATTTGGAGAAGATATTCCTAGAGTGTCTTCTTTTTGATACCAATATTCTATTGTCAGCTGTTTTGCTATTTAGTAGGCAATTGGTCCCTAATTCAGAAAGGAAGCACCTTTCCCCCTTACTATTTTAGGGAGCTACTTCCTAGCACTATGTGCCCTCGACGGAGCATGCGGCTAATGGTCTATCATTGAAAGTTCTCTACAGAGTACGGAGTGCCCGTCTCCCCAGAGCTGGGCCGAAAAGTATTTGGACTTTGTCTGAGACTAGACCCAGTTTGTACACTCGGCGCCAACACCAGGGGTGATTGTGATGTGATATGTATAATAGACTCATGATGTAGCCGACGCTGATCACTCGGCCGGGGCGGGGCGTCTCATCCTGAAATGATCATAGGTACTCCGTACGGAGTGTAAATAAAGAATTCTATCACATAGAAAGGGGGAGTTATCTACATCATATTTTCACCTACCTCCCTAGCCGTTTCAGCAGAACCCATTATGATTAGCCTTGCTTTTTGCCTATATTTCATCAGTGTGATTATCTGGAATGCATCTTGCCACCGACTTAGCAATGTTGAAAGCGAGCTTCGGAACCTTGTGACGCAGCCTGCTGTAATACAGCGCGTTGGAATGGTCTCGGTTATTAAGGACTATCGAGACGGCAAAGTTGTTCTTGTTGAATCGATAGCGCTGATGGCGATCACTTCGCAACTGAATCACGCATCGGAAGAATTGTTTCGTGGTCTATATTCACTTGAGATGCGGCTGTACTATGGTATTTGACTGGGCCCAAGTGTATCTTCTCCCTTACAGCACAAATGCTCACCGTTAAAGCCAACTTAGACAGCTTGCGCGAGACTCGAGACATACAAAAATCGATGGATCATATTGGCCACGCCCGAGACAGACTAGAGTCTTTGATTGCCCAAATCTAATGACCAATACGAGTACGAGTATACATAACACCCAAGCAAGCCCTTCTCCACTCAGCACCCCAACCTTGGAACTTGAGACATTGGGAATGCACGGTCCAATGAACGACATATTGTCACGTGCCAGCTGGAAGGATAATCAGCCCTTACACTCTTGTTTTTGTTTCCCCATTCTTCCATTCTTCTCCTTTCTTCTCACATCCCAACATTCAGCTTCTATGGACGGGCATCCTGTTCTTTTGAAGCCTGACGGCATCTTGCGGATCATTACGCTTGGAGGCTCCGGGGGTATCCATCAAGATTCCAACCACCAGGTTCTCAAAGCACCTCTCAAACACAATACTCAAGGATGTAACAAAGATGTTATCGCATTTGTTGCAAGTACCGAAGAATATTCAGAGGAATGCATTGCTCGCGAGAAACTCATTTATCAATCTCTCCCAAACGACGACCCCAATATCTTGAAGTGTCTAGGTATCACGGAAAGAGGAATCCAGCTCCCTTTCTTACAGCATGGGGACATCCGTACCTATCTGAAATCCCATTCAATCGATGCGGCGACCAAAGATCGGTGGATCCAAAATGCGATTGATGCTATTGTTACTATTCATGCACATGGTGTCGTTCATTGCGACATCAGTCCTCGCAATTTTCTCGTTAGCAATGATCTTTCAATTCTGATTTCTGATTTCGCTGGATCTAAGATCAATGGCCTTGAGTCTTTAGCTGAGGAAGAAACTCGGTATCGGCTACCTCTACCTCCTTCGTCTTCTCGGAGTACCGTCACAGATATTTTTGCGCTTGGCTCCCTCATATACGAAATCTCTACTGGCATATGTCCTTTCCCAGATCTAGACGATGAAGAAATTGAGAAGCGATATGCCTCGCAAGTTTTTCCAGCTCTAGATCACCTCGAGTACGGCAAGATTATCTCAAAATGCTGGAGGTCGCACTATGAATCTGCTGAAATGATAAAGAGCGATATTCGCCGTCTCCATGAACCTCCTACCATTGATACGACCGAGCTCGTTTCCTCGCTTATTTGCTGTTCTCTGGCTGTGCTTAGTTTCGGATTTACTTTCTGGGCATGTGCGAGGCAAAATAGATAATTTAGTCGATCATTTGTTGGTTTTTAGGACCTATCATATGCATAGTTTCTATCAAAAATTATCAGACTTTTTTTTTTTGAAAGTCTTTTGAAGCCCTGGGAGTCTCGCAGCTCCCGAGGTGTCTAATCATGTGTATGAGAAGTTACGGTTACTCGACTTTACTCTCTTCGACCTCTCTCTCTTCCTTTCTGTAGATACAGAGTCACTCCTTTTTCCTAGTCTGGTTCCACTATGATTATATCTCTCGAAACCATCGTCGAGCAAACAATCGCCACTTCTAATACACTATCGCGAATTGCCCGTTTACGTGCCTAGTTTTGGGACATTAAAATACTCCAGAGACCCTTTCTGCTTGCTCACAGTCTGCTGCTTCTTTTTCAAACATTTGAGGTCATCTCTGAATGTATTCATGAACACAATGTTATCTTCGAGCGTGTGCCAAAAGTTCCAGGCTATACAATGTAACTAAATAACTATACAGTTCTCGAAGTCCTTTCAGGAAAGATTATCGTCACCAAGTTTTCATATTTGCACTTTCAAAACCTACACAAAATCTCTTTGACCACAGAATCTGCTCAAGTCTATCTGATGGCCGGTAAATGAAAGTCCAGGAGAGATTACTCTAATGATACACGAAGAAGTCTCACTTTGCTTGGGTGTTAGCACCTTCTAATAGTTTCGTGATACGGTGTAGACGTTAAGGGCATACCTTCTTGGCCTTGCAGTCACTGCAAGCTTGACCTCTTCTGGTGGACATTCCAACTGGTGAATCCTTGATCGCTCCGCAGTTCTTGTCGCAGGCAATGACAGTAGAAATTTCTTTGACATGACCGCAATTGAATTTGACAGGGCCGTACGTGCGTGTACATATTGTTCTTACTCATGATCAGCAATTGAATGTTATAGTAATTTGACCTACTTACTTGGGTTGCTGGATGAAATTTCTCCGAGTTTTACGTTGAGATGGAGTTGGAGGAAGGTCTGGGCACAAGGTTAGATCAATTTCAATGCTGGGTGAGAGGTGCTTTTATCTTGATCAAGAGAACTATGAGGGGTATCAAACTCTCCTGCTCAAAAGATATTTAATTAGATAGAACAAATCATGTAGATTTTTTGTGGAATATCTGAGCATGAGCTCTGTGCTAGAAGGTACCTGAGCTGAGCGCTGGCCCCCAAGTCTCTAGGCAACACATTACGTTTGGAACTGACTGATAAGGGGTTTGACATTATTTCCCCGTGTCGTGCCACCTACTGCACAAGGCTTAGAATGAAGTATTGTACAATTGAACGGGACAAGTTCCAGACCTCGCGCATCCCCAACACTCTTCGTGATATCTAACTGAGGGGTAGGCCTATTTGCCGGCCAGGCCGTGCTACGTAGCCCTCGCCCTTTCCCCGCAAGATATTTATTTACAGAGAGGCGCGGAAGCCGCAGAAAAGACGTACTGAGGCGATGTTCCCTGCCACATGTGACAAAAGATTGGCCTAGATCATGCAAGGCTGACATTGTGGCCCCACATATTGTTTGGGGCAAACCATATGTGGGTCCGGGCATGTTGTTCTGGGTCAGGGAAATGTTTAACAATGTGCGACCGCAACTCTCTCTACTCCTAAACCCACCAGCCAGCAGTTATGAATTATTCCTTAGCCCTGGAAACCCTTCGAAATGCCACAGACGAGGATATCCAAAATCAGCTTTCTGACACAATCCAGACCCTCAAAGCCCTTGGAGAGAGACTACAATTCGGATTTATTTCAACTACACCTTATACGGTTGACACAAACACTCCCCCACCCAGCGACCGCGGAAGGCAGAGTCCATCGTCGGCGGCAGACACTACCGCAGATGAACCGACCACCTACGAATTTACCGCCGATGCTCTACCAGCTTCTTCTGTTGAATCAACAAGAACGGTCGCAAGGCACACAAGCGATGTGCTCAATGTCTTGGAACAACCTACTGCCAATTCAACCCGAACGCAAAGACCTCGCTACCAAAGGCACAGAACCAAGAAAACTCTTGTTGAAAGACTTGTTGGGGCTATGCAGGGCCATATTTCTTGGATTCGTGACACTATTTTAACAGGCGATGACATTATCTCTTACAAGAGGGGTCTGAGTGAAGATGCAAGGTTAGAGGATTACAGACGGGTGGAAGGGAATGGCACTCCAAATAATCAGACCAAGCTTTTACGACTCTTATCCATACGGTCTCTCGCACAAGATTTCGTTCAGGAGCCGCGTGGCGAGAATAAGTTACAGACTCTTACTGAATTTGTCTTTTCCACTCGACATGGGAAACTTGACACCAAAGAGTGCAATACTTCCAGATTCAGGGGTCGGTGTCACCAGATATCCGAGTTTGTTGCCTGCCATCCTTTACTTTCCTCGGCACCAGATGCAAATCGAGCTATCAATAAGGGCATCAAACATCTACTCTTCGAAAGAGTTCTGAAGAAAAGACTCGATGAACTCCGACTGCCAGATACGTGCGAAGCAGTATCGGCAATTCTTGGGTTATCAATGGAAGATTTCAGAACTTTGACGTTTGCTCAAATGCCACAACTTGTGGATGCACTTATATCTAATGATGCCAGTATCTACTTACCGACGGAGGATGGCACTCAGAAGGACAAATCGCATGTTTTAGATGTTGTACGAGATATTCATGATTGGTTTGCAGACCTTCAAAGCCGCTACAACAGTTAGTATCACACGCCAGATCACCGTTCAATCCTGAGCTCATAATATTCTTACAGATATCCGAACGGGTGATTCAACACCGGAATCTGAATGGTCTATTGCAAAACGCCGTTGTCACGATGACCTAAATGCATGCCCTAAGCTGTTGTCCTACCCTTCTAGATATCAGCAAAGGGCGGGCATTTTAGGTTCACCTCCAGACGAAAGCCAAATTACAACACCTCTGCTCCTTGAACCTGGAATCGAGCGTCACGTATCTGAATTGGGAGTGAATTTTTTTGAGTTCACAAATCAATCGTTCCTCGAGAGCGAATATCCTCGATCGGAGGCGAATTCTTTACTTGAAGATACATCAGCAGCTGGTGTCGATCATTCATTCGATAACACTTTTCAAGCAGCGCCGTACGGTACCCAGCAACTCTTTGCTGACATCGAAACTCAGCCAGTAGACTTTGCTGTCCCGTGCGACCCTCTATTTACCGAATTAGCCCCTTGCTTATCTGCGCAACTGTTCAACTCCTCACTCCCACCTCTCTACTTGACTTGAATCGACGTGGTGATTATGTTGATGAATCTGGACCAAATTTGATGGTACAGACATGGTCTCTAATGGTTATGACATCCAAGGCGAATGGTTTTCTTAGACTACCTGATCATCATAGTATTAATATGATCCTCCTACAAAGGATAATATTGACGTGAAAAATAATAATGTGATATAGAAGCAAAATCTGACACAGCATGATATATCAACTGCCAAGCATATACACCCATGCCCCCAATTTACCACTAACACCAGATTGGTTCTGGACGGAAAGCTGGCACTCTCCGTAAACGTGATAATGCCACCCCATCTGCACTACGCAGTTCCCGAGCATTACATTTCCAGCGATGTAGAAAGGTATTATGGCCATGTACGGTTGTCCAACCCGGCTTTCCCCGGGAAAGTAGACTTGGATTGCTGGCTTTATCCCTCGGTGTTCCAACTGGCGCTCTCTTCGTAATTTGCTGCCCTAGATGTGTTCAGTAAATGAGGGAAGATGATAAGTATCATGGGGGAAGTTACAGAGTAGAGTTTCTCGATACGTGCAATCATTTCTCTACCGTGGCCTTGTACCAACAGTGTCGCCGATGTTCGATTGGGAGCTATCGATAGAGACTTAGCCGCAATGCGGTCATCTTCGCATGCTTGGTTGTATAGATCCATTTCAGATTCTGGGATTCGTACTGAATCTAGCAAGTCGGCGCTTGAGCCTTCGGGCTCCATGGTTGTTAATTCGAAAGCAGGAGTCTTGTCTAGTGATTTCATTTTGTTAGCTAGGAAGAATATTTTGTCTTGATGCCACTACCAACCTTAACCCACAGATATCACAAGTGTAAACTCAACGTGTGAAAGCATGGCTTATTATTGAAGCTCTGCGGGGCCACATGGAGGGGCTCCGTGATGCCTAACATCCAAGATTTGTAAATCATGTGACATGTACCTGTGATAAGATAGGGATTGCATGAGCATGCCCAACTGAAATGATCACGAATCTTTTTTTTTTTAGCTTTTACCTAAGATAACTTGAATATTCTATGCAAGATACTTTTTAAATTTTGATTTTTTTTGGACTGAATCTAGAAATGGGTCTTATGTCTACAGGAGGTCTAGTGTGAAGGATACAGACTAACTTAATTTCATGATAAATCTATACCTTGAACCAGAAGAGACTATAAGTATCCTTTGGTTTACCTGATAACTTCAGTAAAATGAAGGAACTAAACAGTGTTTTTCAGCTGATTATGACTAGCCTCTTATCTTGTATTACACCGAGAGGTTCGGGCTCTTTACCTCAGATCTCAAATATCTCTACGGGTAGGTGAATCAGTTTTTTAAATGATAACTAAACAAACACGCTTACATTTAGTACAGATGAAGTTCACCCAGACACTTTCAGCGATAGAGAATTTGTTCGCACACATAAGATCATTGGGGAATGTATCCCCAACTCCGGTGTGATTACATACACGATTCAAAGGGAGGAGAAGTCGGAGTCGAAAACCCGAAAATCAGAATTTCAACTCTCCCTACCGCAACTTTTATCCAACGAAGATGGCTGTCGGCTACTGAGAGATTGGAAGCCGTCGCCAAGTTTGAAAAATGGAAACTTTTCCTTCGATCATCGTATAATTGAACAGTTGGATTTGGACGGGCATGAGATGTACAAGATCAAACGGGAGATTCGCTATTGCAGTCCAACAGGGATTGTGACCCAACCGAACCTGGAGACACATCTTATCCCAATTGAACAGCTTATGAGCTGTACGTCTGCGCGTATTATGCTTGACAAGTGGGAAGCAAGATAATACAACAGTACGGGGGTTATTCTCAGAGACAGGGGGATATATCAAGCTCTGTGAATTGATGAAGGGGTTTGGTTGATTGTCTATAAGAAACAGGGTCTAAATTGATTTATGTTTTCATCGCGCTGAAGTTTGAGTACGTTTGAATCTTCTATCCCATCTTTATTTAGGAGTGTACACCTAGTGTACTGAGGGGTTATGCTCCTCCTGGTTATGGTTGTCTAGATGTTTTATCATATCCGTAGTGTCTATTCAAATATATTTCATTATTATTTATAAATAATTTATATATTATGCTAAATTGGCTTATTAAATTGAACTACACTTATTTATCCCTGTGTTGCTGGATAAAATTAATCTTATGATTATAGAGATAAAATAGTGATAAACAACAGACTTTATAAAAGAAGCAAGAGATTACAACGGTAGTAGTATCCTCCCTATCAGAATGAGATCGGACATGGGAAAAGAAGAGAAGGAGGGGGAGAGAGAGAGAGCAGAAGCCATAGATCAGGCCTGCCACCAGATCACCTAACCTATCTACCACTGACATATGTTATAAAGCATCTGAGTTCAAGTATTAAAATATCTATATAAGTACCTAGGTCGCTGTATTCCAGGATATACTAGACTTTTAAAAGAGAGTAACCTGATATTCTACAAGGTAAGTGATATGACTCTTACATTTGAAAGAAATATTTATACTGACTTGACTTCTTCTGTTCTTAGTCTACTCAATCAACGATTGTATTCTTCAAGAATATAACATCGTACGCAAAAGTAGGTTGAAAGTATCATCTCATTACTATAGCTACTATTAAACTAACCTGGACTATATCCACAAAGTTCTATCACTATGTGCCAGACTATTATTTATACATGGGGGTGCTCAAGCAGTGGATGCTCCTATAAGGATTTTCTTACACTCAAATGTGTAAAGAAGACAACTCAGAATGTGTGCAACGAGAAAGAACCTCCCAGACCTGTCATGTTTGAAGCTACTGTTTGTCCAAAATGCCGCTCGTCCCCTGCGATGGGAAAGACTGAAGCGAGAAAAGACACTGAGATTGAGAACTGAGTCCTCAAGTAGAGGCGACTCCAAATTGTACCTCAGAGAAGTATTTAATAAATTGACTCCAATGGCTAGATGCCTGTTCAAATGAACCTTTTCATCTCCGAAGCTGAGGCCAGTGATCTTATCTTAGAGATGTGTATCATATCACTAGATGTTGTGGCTTAGGTACAACAATGTCTCTCCGCTTCTTCTTACATTTCCTGGCCAATTCATCCATTGGCTAGCCATCCTAATAACACACTGTGTTGTCAGTCATCTTATTAAATAAAAGGAGAGGCCGAACACCATGGCTAATGTTGAAATTGTCGCAGTGCAGCGGTCGCGGCGGTGAGTCTTTTATCGGTGCCCTGGATGACATCACATTAACTTTGACTATAGATATGACATACTGCTTCGGTTCGTAGATGAGTGTGATTGTATGATTGCGAAGCGCTGGAGGGGGAAGGGGCTATGGTAGTGATCTCGAAGGTTGGTAGGAAAACATTTAATTTGGGTTCAAAATACTGGACGTCTATTTTTGGTCTTTAATCTTTTATTTGGACTCGAGAGAGAATCTCCTTCAGTATCTACTCCTTGGGATGCAAGGCATATATCATGAGAATTCATTAAGGTGCTTGAGAGCAGACGCTCTATGATTTCAACATACTATACTCGTACCGCATATTTAGACCTGGTAATAAGACACAATTGCCCGGGTAAATAATTACGGCATAAAAGATGTTTGTTTTTCGGTTCATCGAAAGGGAAAATTCCCAAGCATCAGCCTGATCGGAATCAAGGCGAGGAGTACGAAGAGGTTGAAAAATGGCACCGTGCGAGATGGCGATGAAAGTATAAGAATTTATTCCCTCCTGAAATTGCTCTGTATCACGTCACATCTCAGTTACCGTGCAGACAATGAATATCAGCGATTTACTTAGTCCTTCATCTACCTCGAGTCTCATCCAACCATCGAGACGCTCCGCATCTCCTCAACAGCCCTCGGAGCAACGAGACAGCCACAAGAGTTCTCTGATTCCATGCACATTATACCTCGAATCAGGCTCATATGCCAGCGCAGCAGAACGGAAAAAGAATTCTGCAGCATCACAACGCTACCGTGCCCGACTTCAGGAGAATCGACAGCTTAAGGATGAGAATATATCCCTTCGAAGGCAACGTGACGCTTTGAATCATGAGCTGGGCCTTTTACGTCACAGACTTGGAAAATACGAACTTACGGCTTTATTGCAACAAACCGAGAGCTGGAAAGTTCCTACTAAGTTTGACTGGGGTCAGGAGATGGTGGAAGAGGCATGTTTCGATGTTCCTATTGAGACTGTGATGTACCCTACAGGCGGTGGTATTCTTTCTCCACAATTAGAGAAGCGTGGAAAATAGACGAAGGGAGTTTCATTACGAGAATCCATCAAGATCTACCATGTTTTAGACTTCATATGTTAGTTTGAATCTTCTCTCGAGCGAAAAGTGGATCTAAATTTCGCAACACTCATGATCCAGATAAAAGTCAGACACTGGTTATGTATTTCATTAGAGCAGCTTTGAGTGTAGCTTTAGCCCAACAGACGGATATTATAGAAATATCCTGGGCGAAGGAAGATCAAGCCCAACCCGGTAGTTTAAAATCACACTGATTACTGTCTTCGGAATAAATCTTACGGTACTTCTATCAAAACAGAAAGAACACTTCTTCATGGACCAGTGTAGCCCCCAAATTTCTACAAAACTGTAGCTGGACAGCGGTCTCACCTAGAACTCCTGGGATGAGCTATTCTTGGATGTCGATCTCCCTAGATATACGCCTCTATTCTCAAATCTCAATACCGTGTGGGCTATTTGAAAGAGAATACGAAGATCAAAAAATGGCACCGTTATGACTTTTGATGATCAAACTTCACCAAGGTTCGATATTGAGCTTCGTACCCTTTACACTTTTTCGAATTGCATGGTTGAAACATACGCTTTGAGCGTAGATGTTTCAATGAAATGGTGCTACTTAAAGTTGAAGGCTTTCCCAGACATCCTCTAAGGATTATTCAGATCGCCATGGATACCTCTTTTGCGATCGCTCCAAGGGTTATTCCTCTAAGCAATACATCTGCCCTGAACGAATACTACAAATCTGGATTTCAGTCACTCAGTAATACTACGCAGCTTTGGGTGATATCGAATGGACCACATTCTGTCAGACCCACATCAGGTAGGAAAGCCTCCGTACATGTATAGTCTTATATTGATAAGCCAGACATAATTTCCGATCTGATCCGCATCTTTCGCGGAACCAAGTCTGTATATTTTGGTCGTCTAATAAAACATATTCCATGGCTGCGGGAATTGCCACAAGAACAAAGGGTTTTAGAACAGATGCTTCACACTAGGGGAAAGGAGGAACAGTACGAGATGGGGCAACTTGGTACGTATAATCTATTCTTACCCGCACCCATGTCATACATAGTAACAGATATCTTAGATGTGAATAGCTCTGTCCAGCTTAGTGGATTGTTCTCCGAACCTAACTCCTTTTCATTTCCCAAGGGGGAACCCATGATGAAGTACGGACCTGCCGTGTCAAATATTGTTGATACGTCAAAGTCAAGGAAATAAAAGGTTGTCATAGTTTCGAATCTTTATATCGGTGTGAGTGTCTATTGTGCTTTATCCTGTTATTTGATTGGATAAATAGATGATTTATAAGTGTGCATGTATTGTCCAAGAGAATACCCTTGTTCGTTTTCATATACGAGCCAAAACAAAGAATCTGCTCAGCCCAAAGACATGATGATGGGACATAAAACGCCTGGAATATAACAGGTCATTGCAAAGTGACTTCCTGATTTAATCATAGTGGCTAATAACACTTTCAAATCACACTCGATCTTCCGTGACTGACAACATTGATCCTCCTTCAACGTTCCTCCATGTTATTTGGGATTACCAGTTGATTTTAAAAAGCAGCACCCAACGTTATAATTCCCTCTCTGCTTGATAATAGAGTTTCTTAAAAAGTTCCCCTCTTTCTCAATATAATTTTGAGCAGTCAAGACGGAATAGGTGGTTATAAAGGGTCTATTTCTACTCCTTCGATGGCCTTCGATTGCACATTTTTTATTTAACCAGACATCCAGTTATGGTGAGTACCCGCCCCTCTCGCTGGTGACGATGTCATGCTCACAAAAGAAGCCTGCTCCGCTTCACGTCCAATTCCTGTATGGGCCGGCAGAAATCGCTTTGAAAAAAATACTCTCTTTGAGAATTGAATCTCCGCCACTCTTGGGATTGAGTCCGGAAAAATCTAGTGAAGATGCTAGAAAGTTGCTAGATTTCTGTAACACTTTCAGACGCGGAAGATCCCAGGAAGCCTGTCTCGACTTGTACTTGGGGAATATATTAGTCGATCTCAGTTATGATACTGTTCTTATGCTAGCGCTGATGACTTGGCATTTTGATGCTTCATCTTCTGAAGCATCACCGAGCTTGATTAATTTCCTGAGATCGCCTTAAGACAGTGTGAAGAGAATGCTTCAGGAGAAGTATCGAAGGGTGAGTGGAACGAGCTCTTCAGACTTTGACTTTTCGCTTATGCTAAATTGAGTCTTCTCTGGTGATCAAGTGTGAAACATGAAATGAATTGTATCTGCTTTGTTCAAAAGTAACCGAGCTTTCTAAGGCGGTTCCAAAAATCTTCAAGACGTCCCTCGTACCTGTCTTTTAAAATGTTGGGGATTTCATATCCGACAACTTTTGCAAGGCTGCGTGTTTTCGTAAATTTCTACAGGATAACTTTCATATACTCGCGGCATAATATCATTAGGATAAATAGATGCTTCTAGATATAGCCTCTCGGGAAGGTAAGAATCAAACAAAGCAGAATCAGCTTTTGGATTCATTATAAAAAGGCTATTCCCTCTTCTGTTATCTACCTTAATTCACCTTCCCTTTAGCATGGGCCATACAGGGCCAGCTTTTATTAGCCTCATTGTGAGCTGGTGTTGTCTTTTTTTATGTTTATTTTGTTACCGCCTATTGCGCCACAATCGCACTCAGGTATACAGAGCCGTATGCTTCTTCCTAGATTTAAGCTAATCTGTCTCCGTGTATAGAAAGAGCATCTCATGTGATAGTTCCAACCGAAATCCGGAGCCGGGTTTTCTATAGCACGAGTAAAATCACTCCACGCTATCTATTCGACAGTCACTTGAAATGCCTTGTCCTCAAAGGAATTTATCCACTAACAGGTAGGTTCTATGTCTTTAGTAGAGACTTCCAAGCCAAGCTAAGGTTTAAAGATGTGGTGCATGCGATGTGACAGGCCTTAGGCTGCCGGAAATCAAGAAGCCAACTGTCATGCCTCCACTGCCAAACTAATGGTGAGAAGTCTGCTTTGGTAATGGTGAAGCTCGGTTGAGGTCCTGTCAGTGGCAGCTATAAGCTCATCTGCTTCTGAAATGAGAACTATCGCTTTTATTATATGTACAGCGTGCCCTAGATTCGGACTGAAGGAGCACAACACTTTATTGATAGAATGATATTTTGCAAGTCCTTTCGTAGAAAACCCGTAAGAAGAGCGAGATACGCTCTTTGATAATTCCTGTTGCCAGAACTTTATAGCTTTCCTTTCCATCTTTATTCTTTTCATCTTTCAGATAGTTCAATATATTCTGCATTGTTCCTCTCCCTTGGCTTCCCTCACTTCTGACAATGCTGCTGCTCAGGAAAGGATTCTAACAAGTTATAAAGTTGATATCTTGATACATATTTACTTCTTGATTAGAAAGTGGAGTACATCTCTGCGTCTTCTTTCCTTCGTCAAGATCTATCGAGATGATAAGTTGAATGACCTGGGGTGCTAAGACTGATCGCTTGCTAGCTTGCTCTCTCTCTCTCTCTTTTCTTTTTCTTTTCCCTGTCCTTATAATCTCTTCTGGATTAGAGATTGAATGAGACTGTCAGTTTATGAGGCCCAATCTCTGCAGCCACACTCCCGACACCTACTGTTGATAGGAGACAACCAAATAAATGAGAAATACAATACTCATATTTATAAACAAACTATAAGTATTAATATTTCTAATGCGTATTCGAAGCATTTTGTATTATTAGAGCCAGAATGAAAGATAAATTTCTCATCATTCTGCGACAGAATATGGAGATAACTACTCCCTATCTAAAATAGAGGTTATTTTAGCGGTGACCTACGGGCCAAGTCTAAAGTTGATGATTATCTCTTGATTTACAGAAAATAATTCATTCTATATGAATCCAATCAATGACAAGATAAAGCATGTCTGCTCAATGATATCTAAATAAAGGGTTAAACCTATATTATCTGTTCATTCAGTCGACTTTGAAATGTAGTTTGGATGTCAGCCAAATTTGACATGGTACCTCCGTACTTCACTGTGGGCTCCACCTTGGAAAATGAAAAACAATTAGGTACTGATATCACCCACTCAGCAGGACGGAGCTATTCACATCTAGACTTTCTGTTACTATACATTATATGTGTGTAGGTAAGAATAGATTTACATACCAGTTTGCCCTTCTTCGTAAAGTTGTTCCCTTGCTCTGATATAAATCATATGTTCTAAAACCCTTTGTTCTTGTACAGAACTCCGTAGGCGTCGAATATTGGCTGTTAGACGACTAAAGTATCTTGTATTGGTTCTGCGAAAGAAGCGGATCAGATCGGTAATTTTGTCTGCCTTGTCAGTACGAAAATACATATACAGGAAGCTTTCTTACCTGATGTAGGTCTGGAAGAATTCATTTTTTTGGATATCAGCCAAAGCTCTTCTTGCGTAGTAGAATTGAGCGACCAAAATCCTGAACCATAGTATTCGTTTAAAACAGATGTGTTACTTAGGGGAATAACCTTTGGAGTGATCACAGGAGATGTTTCCATGGTGATAATGGCCTGATTCACTGTTTAACAATACTTTAGCAATAAACTTCTGGGAAAATCTTCGACTTTAGACCTTTAGCATCATTGCATTGAATGATGATATGCTCAAAGCGTAATATTAATCTGGTAGCTCTAAAGGGTGTAAAAGTGTTCAGGGTTACTTTTTGTATCCTGTATTAGTTGCTATACCTTTCTTTGAAACGTGAGAGAGTGCTTTCTAGATGCAACTGAGAACGTGTTCCTGTACGCTATTCCACATTGGTGAATTGTATTCCGCGCGGAATGAATTCAACTAAAATAGACTAGCGTGTTGTGAGAGTTCTATTTTTCTTATGCCACATCAAGTTTCATTTCATGTGGATCTAGAATTGCCCAATGAAATGGAAGGACTATATGATAGGCGTATTCCGAGGTACATGACTTTTTCGCCGCCGTTTACACCCTAGGTGTCGCAAAGAAAGAGATTAATCTCTGTTACTGACGCATATTTTTCTCAGCAGGAGGATCTGATGTATCTTTTATTTCGATGGCCTCTATTATATCGGATACGGCTTACATGGCTGGCAAACAAACCCGTGAACTCGAGTAATCAGCTCTTCGGATTTAGAAATTTCAAGGTATAAATGTTGACTGTCATCCGCAGGCAGTTTATCTGGAAAGGCGAGTATCAATCATTTGAAGAGTCACTATAGCCTCGTTGTTTCAATCAGTTCTTGCCTCTCGGTCCTCCTTTGGATTGTATAATGTCCAGATACCTAGCCCGCTACGGTTATTTTCCCAAAGAGCTCTTTCGACTGAACAATAGCTTGTCGGTTCGGCTTCGTGACAGAGCGGTCAAAAGAACTGGCAGCTTCGATGTGGTGACTGAGGCAGGGAAGATGAAGCCAAAAGCCATTGATCCTACTACCTACCAAGGTGTGAAAAATAGAGGATTACGTATAAGCTGATAAGCATTTGAAGTGCTGACCACACGAAGGACCTAATGGCGCGTCAATGAGGCCAAATACTCAAGCGCAAAAAGACCTCGTCGAAAACTACACGGGAAGTCAGGTGGTAAGATTTTCCATTCCGCAAGGTAAGTTAGACTCATTCCACAAGAAGTTGTTTATCTCAAAATTTGCAGGGACGAAACTTCCGGAAGATCTGACTCTGATCCACGAGAAAGGTGACCATAATTCTCTCCAACCAGCAAAAGAAATGACACTAGAAGGTAAGTCAAACAATCTCATATTTTTACGACAGGCTTCTTATTGAAAGTTCTATAGAATTCAACGCAAAGATGAATTCGTTTTTGTTGAGTTCAGGAACGCAGCATACCCGGGATCAATGGCTCCAGCTGTACCCAAATCCGACGGAGACGTCCTGATGCAGCAGAACAGACTCTTGACAACACAGGCCGTCAGAGACGATTCTTTTTTTCGTTATAAATCATGTGGTTCCTGGATATTGATAAGCACCAAGTATTCAACATACTTTTTGTCGGCTCTTGGAAATTGAATGAGCTACCCCTTCGCTACTTATGTCTGTAGTATAGCAAGTATTTGTGAGTCGCGCAATTATCCTGGCCTACTGAGATAGCGCCTCTTTTCCATCCGTGTAGCCAATTTTGCCTGCAGCACTATCCTAGGGAGACTTCATGGTTTATAACTATATTCTGAAAGAATTCAGACTAGCTACTGGTCATACTGGCCTTATGTGACAGATTTTGGGAATGATCAAGAAAGCGGACAGGGTCTTCCATTAATGTAAAGAATCCGTACTTGTTCCAAGGCTGACCCAGGTAATTGACTATTAATAGTAGCGACGCCGCAGCGCTTCCAGCTGCAGTAAAGTCACTGCGCACTGGACATGCAATCAAATCACACGCTAGTCTATTTCTGCCTTGGGTTTTATTTGATTCCGCTATAAAGAGGAGAGCATCCCGTCGTAAATCGCGTGCATCAATTCCTCCATCATGGGCATAACTGACAGCAAAATGCTTCTGGTGAAGCTTTCAACTGCATGTTCAAACGCAGAAGAGAAAGGGAATAAACAGGTTCACCAAGTTTTTTCAGACAGGCAGGTGCGTTCTAATTGCTCGAACACCTTGGTATAGCTAATGAGATAAGTTTGTCGATTGTCTCGCCAAAATCTGGAAAACCCTGCCTGAGTGTTCAAAAGTCAGTATTGATCCTCTCGGGCGCAAACGCATCCGGAAACTCTCAAGGAAGCCAAAAGTTCAGAAAATTTCTTTATCCAATGAGTTACAATCAGCTCTCGGCGGCTGGACAGACAATCCCTGCTCCTTTTTTGAAGAGGGTAAAAGCACAGACCCTTTCGAACTCGAGTCGTGTACGATTGCAGCAAGTTATGAAATGCTATCGGAGACAGAAATGCGCAGTTCTAGGGATACAATACGTTTGCGATTCTTGAAGGTCTTGTTTTATCATTTGAAAGACCGATTCTGTGTGAGTAATTTTCGACCAGATTCTATTGCGTGGATTTCTCAAAGAGTCCTTGCGGCGGGACTGAGTGCCGATGATGAAACTCGCACTATTTCGGACAAAATCAAACGCTGGGCTAGCGTGGGAGCTAAGTATGACACGCTGTGCAGAGACTTGGGAAAATACAATGCAGCGCAGGATTATAGTTGCCTGGGTAACTTGTTCCGATTGCCTGATGATGTGACTGATAGATTGTGAGTCGAAACAACGCAAACCGGTCCCAGCTAATCCTTTTCTAGCTTGTTGAAAGAAGTCCCAATCAAAGGGGAAGGCAGGCACAAGGTCATCGGGTCTTTAATGAGCCGTGGTGTCTGTAGCTTGGAAAATATAGAGACTATGGACCACCTGGCCAATGACCTCTTTACCCTGTTGTGGAATAAGGTTGAGTCGTCTCTGCCTTTCGAAGAGTCAGGAAAGGGGGGTGTATTCTGTCCTTTGAAAGGTAAGATATTTATATATAGTATGCGAGCGTTTAACAAACTGCTAACATAGATTTCAATCAGATTGGCGCACCCTGGAGGGCACTCGAGTTCTCAGACTCCAGAATTGGAATAGTGAAAGTTCAACGGCAATCGAGGATATAATTCACCTAGTTGGAACTCGATCAGATGCTTCTGGTGAAGACCACCTGGGCCAGAATTATGCGTCCACGCAATCACATCATCATATACCACACAATCATCGGATTCGTGATGAGCCTGGAATACCGACTGAGAACGAAGCCTACCCGGATATACCACAGCCTAATCGGTCACCGAACCCTTCATTTGCGAATGCTGCTCAATCTACTGTTAGCCAACCGCTTACTGCCTCGTTACAAACAAGTGGCGTGGGAATTTTGGAAAATCAACCCCATAATCAACTCGTGAGCACCATCAGTGTATATTCAACTGAAGATATGGCCCTTGAGAACCCTCGCCTACCTTGCCAATATCTGTTGAACCCATTTCTCTGACCAATTCTGAGATCTTCTTTGCCAGAAGGGATCCTCCGTACATTATAAGGGATCCTCCGTACATTATGCCGCCTTCAATCTCAGTCGGTAGTTTTTCGGCTTTCTCTGCCTTTTCGCCAGAGACTGCAGTGCTTGCTTCGGGTATCATCGCTTTTATCTGTTTCCGACTGCTCTCGGCGCCAGGGGGGAGTGGTATCGGAGTTAGTTCGCTGCTCATTTCAAACGCTTCACAAAATATGTTCTCCAACACAATTTTCGGATAAACTCAAGAGCAGTTCCGAGTCGGTCATAGAAGGGCGAAAGAGGAAGGCAGTGACAAAAGATAGAAGCTTCGTGAAGTTGACTCAAGGCAGGTGTTTCGTGAATATTGATATTGCACTATCAGTAGTAGAATGGTTCGTTGTTGCAGGTTGGAGGGGTAAATGACAGGGGACATTCGCTTATTTAATCTCGGAACTTTCTGCTCAATGTACATCACATGCCGCGTTCCGGGTTTGGGTGTAATCTGTTAGTTTGGCCCAGTGTGTGTCCAAATGAGGGGCACAGTGATGAACTAGGATGGATTTGTTCCGAAAGTTTGTCTGGCCCCCCTGTCTTCCGATTTCACATAATTTGACCCAGGAGTTGCTTCGCCTGAGATTTTTCAAATCAGGACACTCCAACTTAGCGCTAATTTCGGGCAGTAATACATATTGGATGACATACGTGACGTTGCACCAGCAGTTTTTGACCTATAACTTCCCCTCCCTTCCTTTACCAATCCTAAGGCGACACTAGTCACATGCGTCCCGTCTTGGGAATCTGGTACCTCAATCCATAGACCCTCCAACTCCGTACCCATAAAATTACCAAACAGGGTTGATCTAGTCCGTGCCGTGTGGGTCACTCGAATTCGGAATCTCCTCGCCCCACATTGTGCTTCATGGCCGATCGATGAGGTTGATGTCAACTTCTCCGTCGGTGGCAGAAGCAGGTGGCTCTTCCAGGACGCATCCAAGGTTCTGTAACGCATGTCCTACATCCTTGACCCACGGGTTAAGTCGTTCCAAGTGGTATTTTTGAATTTTCTCCAAGGTTCTAGACATTTTTTCTTAGCGCATGATCAGAGGAAAATCAAAGACTTCATCGATCAGTACTTACGCCCTTAACGCATTTATTCTGTGACTGCATTAGATATAGATGTGGGATTTGAAAGGACAGACTCACTCGACGCGCATAGCATCCTGTTTAGCTTGCTGCATATCCACCAAAAGCTTGACCCAATGGGCCATTTCCAAAGCCTCGTTATTGTCGGGTAGAGGTGTTGGGATGGAATGGACCGACAATTCATCCTCTGAATGTGTAATAGACAAAATTTCCTCTTGATCGTGAATTTCCTCAATCGATGGAAGCGGAGGGAAGCAAAATAGACCATTAGAATCGTGATTGCCTAGTGGGATGATTGATGGGTCGCAAAGAGAGTTGAATGGTGAGAGATCGGGCATAATATCCAAGTTGTTCATGAATCCTTCGAATGGTTCCACGTCATTGGTCTGGCCAAGATCCTCAAGAAGTTGCTGAAATTGTTCGTCGCTGAAGCTATCCATAGTAGATTGTTGAACGTCTCCTGCTTCAGTGTTTTCTGAAGCCAGCCTGGTACACCAGGCGTTCTTTTAAAGTATACCACACCACGGTTGTTATATGAAAAACGTCTCAAAAAGTGTGGTCTCCTGAGCGGCCCTATCATGAGTCCTTGATGACCTAACCGCTATCATGAGTCCATCATGCATACTAAGGACTCCAACCCCGCCTGTGATAGAGATTTCGCATTCTGGGGTAACTGTTGTCACTACAGTTATTTAGACCACACTTTTTCTAATTTCATATCAACACAAGTTTTCTCAACCTTCCCAAAATAGTCGGACCTGACAGAGGGTTAATATTTTCAAGAATCTTCACTTTGGCTTTGAGTCTTATCATTTATTTCCACAGTGATTATAGAATCTACAAAGATGGATGTTCAATGAACTGCAATTGCTCCCCCGGGAAAAAGTGGAGAAAGAGAAAATGATCAGTGCATTAAGAAAGCAAAATCAACATCTACGACAAACTATCCAAGATTATACATCTGCGCTCTCACGATGCCTGACGATATTAGAACAGACCCGCAAGTGAAACGGTCATATGTCGGCATATTTTCTCTTCCTTCGCCTCCCTGCCTGGTGTCCCTCACACGCCGCACAGCCTGACTGTGATTGAAAAGAATGATCCAGTGAGCCAAAACTCCACTCAAGCCTTTGTTGCTCTATGAACCATTGTATAGAGCTCGGAAATGCACTAAGGCGCTGCGTTCGACCGCCAAAGTGAAGAGAGAGGGAGATTGTATCATTGATATCTCGGACGCTGAACCGAATAGGACGGAAATATCGATTGCAAGATGGACAGATGTCATCTCTCGCTAGCTGAAGTCCGAGATTAATAGAGTCTTTGTAAAATTATTTTGGTTCTGGGTGTAACTTTTCCAGGCAGTCGATAATATGACGGGCAGAGCCTCGGCAGCGAATTGAGCCAACACACTGTAGAAGACCCCCAATTTATTCCGGCTTAGAATCAAGATGAAGAAAGAAGGACGTAGTGAGTAGAGAAGTCACTGTGTCTTGATGTGATCCATCTGTAGGAGTAGAGCGAACAAGCCTAGAGAGCCCTTCCATGCAGTCGGTATCATTCAGACCAGGCAATCCACCAGGCATAGGTGAGTCGAAGCGGAAATATGTGCCCCGTACTTTGTCGTCTAGAATTCCAAGAAATTCCCTCCAGTTGCACTGGCCCTCGAAAGA